AGATGCGTTTTGTTCTTTCTCTTGAAGGTGGTAGCTTGTTTTAGAAAAGCACTTAGCCCACAAGAAATATTTATCTTTCTGCAGATCATAATCTATAGTAAAAGTATACTCAGTGGGGAAAATAATGGTAGAATAAGATGGAAAAGTTAAGACACAAAACTGGCCAATAAAACCATGTTCTCTCTTCTCCTGGACAGAGCTCTACCCGACAAAATCATTTGCAACCTATCGATTTTCTACAAATGCACATAAACCCTGACAGGGTCCAGGTCCCCATCAGTAGTAAGTCAACCAGAAGTCTCATTTCCCTAGAGCGCTAACCGATCTGTGTGTTAGTCAGTGCTCGGGGAGACTCTGAAAGGACATCAGTCTGTCATTTGGCAAAAGTTTCGAGTTTTGGATCACTTCTCTAACACGATTGATCATACTCCTGCAAAATAATAACCGAACCTATCAGAGTCATGGGACACGCGCCTCTTCCGTGGGCTGCCGAGCTGCTGCCGCACTGTTGTCATAGGAATTCTCTCTGTCCCCAGATCTCTCCTCAATACAATCTGATGAATGAGTTATTTCTTGCAGCTCCCTTTTGGGTGTTACTAAATGACCAACACAATAGCTTTAATAACGAGTTGGGTGTCCTTTATTCAAGGGGAAACAGGCTAGGGCCTGGGGAGTGGAACGCCTCCCGGGCAGAAGCAGGTCTTGCAAAGGGATTTGGGGACAAGAGTCAGTTTTACGGAGTGTTAGGAGCGGCACTGTGGGAATAGGCACATTTGCTCAGAAGGCCAGCAGCAGGTCCTGTTTCCTGGGGTCAGGCGAGCTGCCAAAGCTGAGTTGGAGGAGGAGGATGGGGTCTGTGAGGTTTCCTCAGCAGTGAGGCCTTTCCGTGAGTGCACTGCCCTCCGTTTAGATCAGTGCCGTGGGCCGGCCACTGGGGCGACCTCCCTTTCGTGGGCCTCAATGTATGAATTACCTTCATCAGTGTCTTTGTTAAGGGAGAGAACCATTGCACAGGAATGTTTAGCTTTCCGGGAAATCGGGTCTCTTAGAATCAAAAGACTGATTCATTCTTCTTTGGCAACTTTAAATTGAGTTTTTTGACTCATTCGTGATTTTCCTTGTAGAAGAAACACCTCAACAAAAGAAGGGAAACAGGCCCGATCCTGAGTCACGGTGATCTCTACACAAAGGTCCCAGAGAACGCCGCCCTAGCGCCCCGGAGGGCCGTGCCATCGGGAGGAGAGACATGCTGAGGACAGATCAGCCGCCACTGCCAAGTTTTATAAACTCTCTGTGGAGTGACCTGTGCGGTAGGGGGCTCCGGCCCGCCAGGGTGCAGGAGGCTGGGGTGACCCATCAGTCTGCCACTTTCTTGCTGCGGGGCCTTAGGCAAAAATCACACATTCATGATTTAAATGAAAAGAAGAGAGCATCACCCTGGCCTGTTTGGCTCAGCAGTTAGAGCATTGGACCTCGGACCAATGAGTCTCGGGGTCGATTCCGGTCAAGGGCACATACCTTGGTTGCGGTTCGTCCCCGGTCCTGGTCGGGGTTGTGCAGGAGGCAGCCAGTCGCTGTGTCTCTCTCACATCGATGTTTCTCTCTCCCTCCCTCCCATTCTATCTGAAGATACACAGAAAAATATCCTTGGGTGAGGACTGAAGAAAGAAGAAGAAATAACCGATCCTGCTGTACTATTCTCACGGGGTGGTTATAAGGACCAGCTCAATTTCGAATGTGTTGAGGTGGTAAGGGCCAGGCACAGTGCTGCTTGTGGGATCAACTGAAATACTTGTCTTGCAACTCAAAAGAGAAGGTATATTTAGTTGATAATTATTGAGATCAAAGACCCATGACGATTAGCCTAAAGGCTGGCCCTGGGTGGTGCCGCACTCGGGTGTGGGCGGGGTGGGGGTGCAGCCTTGATAGAGGGTTGGAGGGGGTCCCGAGGTGAAAAGTGGGAAAAGAGACGGCCCAGAAATAGCACACGATCCTGCCTGTGCCCGGCCTGCAGCTCACCAGCTCGGCAACACCTCGGGCGGCTGGCAGCCAAGCAATCAGTGTCTCGTGAAAAGAGAGGGATGGAGAATAGCATTGGCCCCTGCTGGTACCCTGAGACCCAGTGAGCCAGCCCAGATCCAGTCCCCACCGAGTCCATCCAAGCCAGAGTGGCTCCTTCACTCACTCCCACAGGGCTGTAGACTTGGATTTGGGCTAAAAATATATTTTTTCCCTCAAACTACACAACAACCATAAAATGATTTTCTGAGTAACCCTCCTCACATGCCAGGCTCTTCTCCCTGAGCGCCAAGGAGCAGCCGGCCCCCCTCACAACCCCAGGCGCTAGGATGAAGGTCCAAGCAGATTCCGCTCCCTTTGTCACCGGAAAGGGGATGGGCTCAGAGCAGGCCTGCCTAAGGCTGGCAGTGTTGTGTGGGTTCTTGACTTCGTGCAGGAAAGAGTTCACAATGCGAGCCCAGGTGATTTTGAGAGGACGTGTACTAAAGCCGGGGACAGGAAACAAGGAAGGGCCGAGGACAGAAGCAGGGGAGAGCCTGGGCAGGGCTGCTGTGGCTCCCTGGAGTCAGAGGGCAGGGGCCTTGGGGACAAGTTCAGGGGGTCAGCCCGGGACGAGCTGCCACTGCCCATTGTTCCACTGGTTGCAAGTCTCACGGAGACCCTTAGGGTTTGGGAGATGCACGAGATGCCCGTCAGGAAAAAGATGAGGAGGGAAAGGCACGAGCAGGCTCTCGTACCGGGTTCCTGGTCCCGAGGGTTTTAAAGGCTGGGAGTTTAGGGAGGTCCAAGCGAAGGATCCCAATAGAATATTCATCAGCTTTTGTAGCCCTTTCATGGTCATGGTCTCCACTGACTGGTCAGTGCCAGGGCAGGGGGTCCTGGTGCAGCCGCCTGGCTGTGCTGCTGCTGTGCTGTGGCTGGCTGGGCGCCGGGGACGGGAGGCCTCCATCTCTGCCAGTCCTGTAGACTGCTTATCACCTTGTTAGGCAGACTTGCAGGTAAAAACCTCTAAGTACTGAAACTAATGCCCCTAAGTGCAGTGTCAGGCATTGTAAGGGCCACTGGCCTTTAGAGGGAGAGCTTGGTGGGGTTGGAGGGCTTCCTGGAGGAAGTGGACTTGTGATGAACTCTGAAGGGCTGGTAGGATTTTCATAGGTGGAGCTTTACGTGGGATGTCATCCAGGAAAAAGGAACAAGCGAATAAACGGGCAGGAGCACCCCTAATGTACCCCGAGGACTGAGTGGCACTGGGATGGAGCTCTGAGGCCTTGGGTGGCGTGGACGGAGGGGTCGGGAGAGGCTCGGAGGGCCAGGCGGTAAACGAGGCACCATACCTCAGCAGGAGATCGAGGCTGTTCTGAGGGATAAATCTTGAGGCACAGGTTTCAGAGCGAGGAGTCACGTGATGGACAATGAGTGGTGGAAGAAGGGGGAGCTGGGTAGGAGGACGAAGGCCAGGGTGAGGGACAGAGACGAACCACAGTTGGGTCCGATATTGTGGGCCTGGGTGACTGGAGGCATCCAAGCATTTCAGGTGGAAGCAACCTTGGAAGATGTAATCTTGTGTAGGCATTTGAGAAAAGGCACCCGACTCAAAGGCACACAGCTAATTAGGGGTGGAGTCAGGAAATGAGCTCACATGAAAGAGGGAGATGACTTGAGGCAGGAGGGGAGAGAATGGATGTACCTGGAGAAAGCGGCTGCGGTGCACGGGGATGAGGCGGTGGGCGTCAGCCAGCACGTGCGGCCTTGTCGTCATAGAGAACACGGCTGGGGCTCCACGGGGCACTGTGCAGAGATAAAAGGCCAGGAGCCCAAAGACCGAAGCTTGGGGGTCCAGGAAGGGGATCCAGGACAAGGGGCAGTCCGAGGGAAGGTCTGGCCCAGATGTGATCTCCCCAGCCCCCCACAGTGTACTAAAGGTGGCTGCAAATTCTATGATTCCCTCCCCCACTGAGATGGGGCAGCTTTGCTTCCCCCTCTTTAATCTGGGCGGGTTCTGACTCCTCCCAAACCAAAGACCAGCAGCTCCGACTTCCTGAAGCTGGGGCCACCATGTCACGAAGAAGCCCCAGAACCCCTGAGAGTGGCCCAAAGACCAGGAACTGGGCTCTGAGCTCTGCTGTGTCCAGCTCACATTACATTCGTGAGCTAAGGTCTGGGTGGTTTGCTCCGCAGTAACATCCGTTCTCTCCAAGTGCGTGGTGGGTGGTGGGGGCCTGTTTTGAGCTTCCCTCCCCCACCACCCTCCCTTTACTTCTCTTCTGCTGGCCGGCGGCCCCCCCTGGGCTTAGAGCTCAATGTAGTCTGTGCTCAGGGCCGGCCGGCCTCTGTGGGGGGCAGGTATGGGAGAGGCCACAGAGGGGGCTCACCTTGCTCCACAAGCACCAAGTAGGACAAGCTGTGGCCTGAGCGGCCCACTGGCAGCCCAGAGGCCCACTTCCTGTACCAGTGACACGGAGAACACAGCGTCTGCTGGGTCCACGCTGGGTGTCACAGGAGCCCCCGGGACAAATAGCCAAAGCAGTTAAACAACCTGAGCACGACTTTTTGGTACATTTGTTTATTTAAAAAAGCATAGGAAATAAAATGGTACCTAAAAAGTATCTACAACAAATAAATTATTCCCAGCGAAGCACTGTAGATCCACAGGAAGAAGTCTGCTCATGCTGCCCGAGACCCTGTCCCATGGACCATGCTGCCTGAGACCCTGTCCCATGGACCACGCTGCCCGAGACCCTGTCCCATGGACCACGCTTCCTGAGACCTTGTTCCATGGACCACGCTGCCTGAGACCTTGTCCCATGGACCACGCTACCCGAGACCATGTCCCATGGACCACACTGACTGAGACCATGTCCCATGTCCCATGTTGCCCGAGACCCTGTCCCATGGACCACGCTGCCCGAGACCCTGTCCCATGGACCACGCTGCCCGAGACCATGTCCCATGGACCACGCTGCCCGAGACCCTGTCCCATGGACCACGCTGCCCGAGACCCTGTCCCATGGACCACGCTGCCCGAGACCCTGTCCCATGGACCACGCTGCCCGAGACCCTGTCCCATGGACCACGCTGCCCGAGACCCTGTCCCATGGACCACGCTGCCCGAGACCCTGTCCCATGGACCACGCTGCCCGAGACCCTGTCCCATGGACCACGCTTCCCCCTTCTCTTCCTGAGACATTGCCCTGTGCAGGGCTGCACGTCCGTCGGTCCTGCCTGAGCCGGCTCCTCACAGGCCTGGCAGATGGGGAGAGCAGCCCGGGCATCGGCAGCCTTGGAGTGAAGACACGGCGCTGCACACGTGGGTTTCAACTGCGTCTACTGGTTTCTGGTCACCTGAAATATTTCACATGAGCAGGGCCTGAGCGTTAAAGAGCCCGGAGCACGTCGGGCCAGCACCTTCCGGGAGGCACATCTTCAGACTCGGAAATCCACCTGAGGTCTCAGGACAGCACGCGGGCCTGCGATTCTGAGTTCTCGGCGAAAAGTAAATGGCCACGTGGGACCCTTGCGTTCAGGGTGATATGTGCGACGACAGCCACGCCAAAGACGACCAGCCACACTCTGGAGAAGAGGGCAGAGCACCAACCCGGTGAGCCTCAGAAGAGGCCAGGTTGGGGAAGGCAGAGAACGGAGGACTAGGGCTTCACTGGTGATTTTAAATGACGCAATTCCAGTCGAGAGAAGGAAGCCACAGCTCTCTCCGGCCTGAGTGGAGGGGTCTGGCAGCAGGTCAGGTCAGGAGCCAGCCTTCCGGAAGAGGAAGGTGCCCCAGGCCGCACCCAGGGCCCAGTGGAAGAGCAAACCACACACACGCAACACTCTTCCTTTTGGAAAGAGTTCAAGAGGCTGTAGAATACACACCATTAAGGAGATTGCAAAACTCCTTTTCATGGAGGCAAAGGGGCACGTGAACAAGTCCTGCTGCTGCGTTTCCAAGGAGAACGAATTCTCTGAACTCAAAGGAGTGCACTTGTCACAGGAGGTGTTGCCACAGAAACGCTGAACGTGGGGCTGTGCTCACAGCTCTGACACAGTCCGTCTCCTCCACAGGGCCACAGAGGCAAACTGCAGGAGCTGGGCGGGTCCTTACACTAAACGAGGGGCGTGGCCCGTGTGTAAGAGAACTTTCCCGAAGCACACGCCAGCCTCCAGGCCCGTCGTCTCATTCGATACGAGATACAGTTCCCAAACTTTTCATTTCATTACGAGAGAAGCCATTCTGCGAGGGCACTGACCAGTCGCAGCAGACAGAGCCTCAGTGTGGGCGGCCACAGGAAGTGGTGGGGACCGGGGTGAACTGGTAGACCCGATGCCCAGCCCAAGGTGGTGTTGCTGCCCGGTGAGACCGTGAGCCCGCGCGCAGCCTGATCTCATGATCTGGACTGTTACGTAAACATTTGATCATTTAAAATGTTAGTGATCAAGTCTGAAAAAAGATTCTGTGGGCTGGATCATTTTGTACGCTGTCCGGCAGTGTCAGGAAGGTGTGTAGGCAGAAGAGTGGCCCCCCAAGGAGGTCCAAATCCAAATCCAGTGATGTTGTAACCCTGACCTGGGTGACTCGTATTCCTCTCTCATTACGGGCTGGTTTACAACCAGCCTGAGGACGTGAGCTGTGATGATCGGATCCCGACCAGAATTAATCATTTCCAACGAATTCATCATTGGAACAAGTCCACTAGGAAATCAGAAGTGGGTGGTGTCCAGGAAAACCTCCTGCTGTTCCTTCCATTAATTCCTCTTTCTTTAGGATTTCCGGCGGGCACTCTACAGGGTGTCTCAGTGCCCTGCTTCATGCAATGTCTTTGGGATGGGTCCAAGTTATTCCCCAGTCTCGACCGGCTCGTGGGCATCCAGGAAGGGAATGTCTGTGTTCCTGTTGCTGGGGTGTGAGAAGGTGTATGGTTCACTCTCAGGCTCAGGACTGAAGCCAGTGGATGGCTCCTCTGCAGGCCACTTTGCAGTTGGGGCCCTGGAGCATGGGAGGGGCGGGGAGGGAGGGCAGTCCTCCGTGGGGCCCTGGAAGGGCCGGTAGGTGTCCACCTCCGGCTGGACATAGGACCCATTGGAATCCTGCAGCAGATGCGTGTATACCATGGTGTCTTCGATGACAGCGTACACGTGGGCATCACTGTCCTTTGGCACTTTCGGGAACATGTTGGGCTGCATCGGTATCTGGGTGTTGACATTGCCATTGTAGACACCTATGGCCGGGCCCTTGTTCTTCTTCTTTTTCCTACTGAGAGGAAGGGCAAGACAAGTCAGGAGGACAGCGGTCTTGGATGTGCACCTCTGTCATCCCTGCTGGAACTCTCCCCAAGTCCCCCGAATTAGCATGTGAACCTACTGTCCTCAGTGCATATTTAAAAGGGACCAGCTTCTGTCTCTAGTTTTCAAGGTGGAAATGGGGTAGAGTGGTTTAGAGAGGGTACTAGTAACACTGTCTGCACTTGCATTTGCTTCAACAGGTGTGCAGTATTCAATGGCAGAGACATCTGACAACCCCCCTTTCCTACTAGAAAGGGGTGGTGCCCCAGCCCAGCCACAGGCACCGGCATGCCTGGGCCAGACGTCTGCCCCTCTCGGTACTTCTCCTGCAGCTCGTGCCCCATCCCTGTCTGGGATGGGTAAAAGCCCAACCACCTAGATTCTAAACAATCAGGTATGAGACTCAGGATGGCAGGTTGTTGTTTGGCTTTTAGTTGGAGTTGGGGACAGTAGAACTCAGCATTAGCAGGGGGATCCAGTCCCTTCAGCAGTAACCTCCAACAGGGGAAAAACAACTGAAAAAGATGACAAAATTCAGGCTGGGGTGCTAGGGCTCCTCAATGACACCATCGGCGTTCGGCTGGTACTGTGCCTCGGCACTTGGGTGCGCACGGGCACCAGCACTTGCTGTGGGAAACAAGGCTTGGCCCTCCCGCTCCACGAACCGAAGCAGGGGGCTGACCTTTCAGTGGGCCGGCGATTCAAATGGAGGACATTATCTCAGGGAACAAAATGGCCCACATCCTGCACAGCCTGGCGGGTCACTAATTGTAAATAGGCTCCCTGTACTTTCCTGAGATAAAAATAAATCTAGTACATTCCGCTTCTAACACTGGGTCTCCGGCCAGGATGGTGGGTTCCCAGGGCTGTGGCCTGGAGCCCCTGACAGAGGCCTGTCCCTGGCCCCATGTTCTCACGCTCTCCAGGGCTGCCCCTTCACTTGCCTGCCTCTCCGGCCCCTCTGCACCCTGGCCCGTGGGAGAAGAGACTGTATCTGGCTCATCTTTGTAGCCCCAGCACCTCGCACGGCTTCTAGTGCCCAGGAGACCCTCAGAAATACATGTTCACGGGCAAGTTCACCGTCTTCCCTCATTCTGGCGGCAGAGCCCGTCCACCTTCCTACAGCCGGGACGGACGAGCCTTCCTTAGGCCAACCTGCCAGCTGGTGGCGGGCGGCTCGGGGGGGGGGGCAAGCGCGGGCCGTCCTGCTGCCCAGTTCCCTCCTGATGAGGAAGCTGGGGCCCAGTGCCGATGCCATGCTCCCGATCTGGGGGCTCACCCTGTGAGCCCCAGGTAAGGAAGTCCCCTGGGAGAAGCACTGAAAGGATGCTTTGTTAAAAGTCCTCCCCCCACGCTGTCTACGTACAACTCCCAAAGGGCAGGTCCTTCCTCGTCAGCGGAGATACTTCTAGACAGTGTCACTGTAGGGCAGGACGTTCAGTTGTCTGCTCATGGCCCCAGGCAATTTGTTTTTCTTTGTGGCTTTTTGGAAGGTCAGATCACACGAGAGGACATAGATACCCCCTCCCCCCGCGGCTTTAATCAGAAATAGGAGCAGAAGTGATCGAATGCGGTAGCAGCGTGCACTATGCCTGAAAAGATCAAAACTTTCCTCTCCTGAAGACGCTGTCATCCTGAGGGTGGAAGGAGACAGTCAGTTTGCTGGGTCTCCCTTCCTCTCGCCCACGGAACTAGCTCCTTTGGAGCTTGTCCAGATTCCAGTAAACAAGCATGGAATGGACAGTTTAAGGGACTAGAGGGGAACAGGCCGGGCCGTACGTGTTCGTTTGCCTCGAGGTGACAGAGGGAGCGGTTTGCAGGCCTGGTCTGGGGGAGCCCACGTGGCCATCGTCCCGCCGAGATCGCCCCCCGGGGCTCATGGTCTAGGGGTTCACAGAGGACCGGCTGAGGCGGCTGCCTCGGAACCACAGGCTCCCCTGGCGCCACGCGTGTATTTTTGCTCTTTGTTTCCTTTTCCCCTGCCAGGTATGGGCTATTCTCCCCCTCTAAGCATAATTCACACCTGCAATATGGTTTTAACACCGATCTGTAGGAGTGGAGGGAATGGGAAGCAGGAAGAAAAGTCCATAATTAGCAACAGCTCGCTGTGATCTAAGGGGGCGTCAGATCAGCTGAAGACAGTTGGAGAAATTCCACCTACTTCTTTTTCACAAAGCAAATGGTGACTCCAAGGGCAAACAGCAGGAAGGCGCCACCTCCCACCACGGCGATGAGGACCACGGTCAGGTCTGTGAGCAGAGACACAAGGGAGCGAGATGAGGAGGCGTGTGGGGTTAGGTCTGACGAACTCGAGCAAACAGCTCAAAGCTGAGAGCCGCCCCCCGGCCCCCGCCCCCTCCCACCGCCACGTGCACGTGCGGCCCCCATGTCCACAGGAGCCTCTTTCCTCTCGAGTCCGGGCTGGGCTGGTTCCGGGCCTCACCTCTGAGAGGCCGGGCAGCTTCTCGCTCTTTCTGTTTGAGGGGAAGCCAGCCACCGTGTAGGAAGTCTGACTGTGCTGAGACCACCGTGCTAGCTAGCTGTGTGGAGACTCCGTGGGCAAAGCACGCCAAGGAACCTGGGCAAGCACAAGCAGCAAGGCTCCAGACCTCTGTCTCCAGTGGGCCACCCAGCCACCCTCTCAAGGCTTCTGGCTGAGGCTTCAGGCATCTTAGAGCAGAGACGAGCCACCCTGCTGTGCCCGGTCCGAATCCCTGGCCCGTGGACCTGTGAGCAAACAGAACGGTTCCAGGCCACGCCACCAAATACCTAAAACAAGCTGAGGGACCTGACAGATCTACTCAAAGGCTACTGCTGGCCTGTGCGGGCATGTCCCCTCATCGCCACAGCTGTGGTGGCGGAGAGCAGAGCTGAGGGGTGCGGGAGAAAGCAGGGAGCCCAGAGCCAGGAGGGAAGGAGGGAAGAAAAATACAGCAGACAGGGAGCCTGCAGCCAGCAGGACTGAGAATTTCCTGCTTGTTCAACAAGAACACAAAAGGTGAGATGAAGAGACAAGAGGAACAGAAAGAAATGACAGGGAATGGACGTAAGAGAGAAGAAAACCCAGGAGGAACCTGGAGCGCAGGAAAGCCCTTCTGGTGAGGCCTCGGGTTCCCACCAGTTCTCTTGCTGCTCCCCAGCCTCGTGCCTTGGGGGACACTCAATCTCTTTGACCACCGGAAAGGGAAGAGGCCAGGGGGGACACCTCCATGGTCCTCCGGCCCCAACACCCTGCGATGTTCTGTGACTGTCTTGGAATAAAGGGCAACCACGGCCCCACCACGTGGTCCTGACACAGGCATTTCCTTGCCTGAAACTCTTCGGTGGACCCTGCAATTCGGGGCATGAAGGCCAACCCCTCTCTTGGGTCCGAGGCCTGCCACCAAGGGCATTCATTTCATGCATCCCAGGGTTTCTCTGAACTCAGTAAAAAATGCTGTCACCAAGGATCTCTAGCACACGTCCCTGGTCCTCACATTTTAATCACCAGCACCGAATGCCCAGTGATACTTCTGTGCGGTAGTTCTCATCGGCTCTCTGCAGATGAGGAAGGTCACAAGTACAAGACCTCCCTGTGTCAGAGAGAGGTTATGGTAAATGAGGGCAGTGGACTGACTACCAGAATGCCCTCATTCCCTCTCCTCCCTGAGCCACGTCCTCTGCCATGTTCTTTGTAGCTCCTCCCAGCAGGAGGTGGAGTCTGTTTGTCCACCTCTTGAACCAGGGCTGGCCAAAAGAATGCTGTAGAAGAAAGGGTGCATGAATTCCTAACCAGAGCTTCAGGAGGCCTCGCCTGCCTCCTCTGGCCTCCGTTGGGTCTCTCTGCCTCTGCCATGGGAACAGGGCTAGGCTGGAGGATGAGACCCTGCAGAGCGGGGTGCAGGAAGCCCGGTTTCCCAGCTGATGTTGACTGGGCCCCTAGCCAAGACCAACCACGTCCCCTAGCCAACCTGCGGCTGCCCACAGTGCACAAGTGAACACCCCTGAGAAACCCGACTCAGACCAGAACTGCCCAACCCACATGTGAGCAATAATAATGGCAGTTTCTTACGCCTCTGAGTCCTGGGGTGCTTCGTTACACAGCATCACCAAGGCAACAGCTGATGGACACATGGACAGCCAGCACTCAAATCTGTTTTCTGACTCACTTTCCAGGCTTGTTCCTGTCCCTCAGCCACCGATTTGCTTTCCATTACCATCCCTGGAAAACCTCGAAGGCCCTTACCTGTAGTTCTCGGGGTAAGCGACACCTGGAGGAGCAGGTCCAGCTGCTTGCCACTCACAGGGCTGCAGTTGGAGATGTTGACCCAGAAGTTGTGATGACGGAAGCTAGGCTTGGGGAGCACCTCCTCCAGGCTGAAGACCTCCTCGGCCTTGGTCCGCTGCTCCTGGATGATCATGAATGCACGCCCCGTCTGGCAGACCAGGCCGGTGCGCTCCTTCATGAAGGTCAGGCAGGCCGCCTGGTTGGGGGGCACGCTGATGTTCCAGGACACCGAGGTCAGGGACGGCAGGCCCTGTTCCCAGTTGGGGGTCCTCAGGTAGACCTTGCTTTTCATATCCGGGGTCACCGTGAAGATCCCTTCCTCTGCAGGAAAGGGAAGAGAAGCCACACGGACGTGTCACTCAATCAGAATGGAGAGACGATTTGTGGTGGCGGAGATGACAGCAGACTGTCTAGACCAGCGCTGTCCGACGGAGCTTCCTGCGGGTGGAGATGTTCTTACCTGCACCGTTCAGTCTCTGCGCCTCGCTCACGTGGTGTTTCTCTCCCCCTCCCTCCCACTCTCTCTAAAAAGCAATGGAAACATCCTCGGGTGAGGATGAACAACAACAAAAAGGACAAGTCCTGTCCTGGAAATGCAAAGCAGAAAGCCCCTCCAACGTGTCAACTAACCTAGTCCTGACCTTCAGGGGAGACGAACACCCACATTCCACACCGATGAGAGCGTCTTCCTTTCAAACACTCCCCTGGAGGAGTTTCTGTGATACCCTTGGAGATATCGGGCAGCCTAGACTGACCTTAATCTTATGGCCAAAGATTCTTCTCCCTCGCACTCAGGCCCTGGAGAACCAAAGTCCAAAGTGAACCTCCAAATAAGCCCTTGGTCAGTATTAACGTGGCCTCTCGCACTGAGCAATCTGTAATGACACCTGTGACTTCTCACGAAGGGTTCCCGAGTTCACTGTTGTGATGGGTTTAGACCCCGTCTCCTGCCTGGGACACGGGAGATCCCGTAACCTCCCGGGAGAACAGGGCGCTTCTTTCTCCCGGCATTTCTGCCCGGCGCTCTCCGTACTGCACCCCGCATTCTCAAAGCAGAAGCAAAAACATCTGCACCGGGGTTTTTCTGTTCCCACCCGAAAAATCCAGGACTTGGGACTAGCTGGTAGGTTCTAATTTATGCTCTGCCTGCTGCGACAAAAGACTCACACCTGATCATTCGTTCTGCTGCCGTCAACCGTCGCCTCCCACGGTCTCACTTGTCACTCCTGGGGTCTCCCATGCTAGGTTAACGGTGAAGTCGGGATTAGGACTCACCACCTTTCCAGTTTCCTGTGTGGGAGCCAGCCCACTCAGAGATCCCTCCTCTTCAAGTTGGCGGCTTGATGAAGACGATCAGAGAAGCCCAGTAAGAGGAATACCCAAACGAGAAGGCGAAGGGGCCCGGAGCCGGGCGAGCGTGAAGACGTCCTTACCTTTGAAGTAGGGGATGAAGGACACGGTCAGGCCCTGCTTGGAGAACTCCTGTTGGAAGCCGGGGGCATAGGTGCGCAGGGTCACCAAGACGTTCTGCTTCACCTGGATCTGCTCGATGGCGCCTCCCGAGCAGAAGGAGCCGAAGTACAGGTCCTGGCCCGGGCTGGTGCTGGCCACCAGGTAGCTGAAGCTGGCGTTGCAGACGCGCTCCTGCGTGTGCTGCTGCAGCTTCTGGGCCGGCACCAGGGCCGCGCTGAGCCTGTCCTTGGGCACCTGCAGCTTCCAGGAGAAGTCGCGCAGCTGCACGGGCAGCTGGAGGATGTCCCTTGGCACCCGGAGGGAGAAGGACCTCCTGTGGCAGTACCGATGTTCCGTGCAGCCTGGAAAAGAGGGGCTCATGGTACCCAGGTGGGGAGGGGACGGGAAGAGCATCTGCCCAGCTCTCAAATCAGCCCCAGGCTTCCTGGCTTTTCCCTTTGGATTTCCTCCTCCCTGATGCTCCCTTTCTAGCTGCCCTCCTGCTCGCTCATACTCTTCCCAACCCGGCAGCCCAGCTGCTGGGGAGTCTGAGGTTGAAAAGGTCTCTTCTTGTTTGTCAGCTTCTCGCCTCTGTGTGTCTGTATCTTAGATGCGAAGTGCCACGTGGGCAGGGCACAGGTTTTCCCCGCCCAGGCCTGTTGCCGTGTCCCCTCTACGGGGAGGCAGGTCTGTGCGGGGGCTACTGTTGCCGTGTCGCCCTCTACGGGGAGGCAGGTCTGTGCGGGGGCTACTGTTGCCGTGTCCCCCTCTACGGGGAGGCAGGTCTGTGCGGGGGCTACTGTTGCCGTGTCGCCCTCTACGGGGAGGCAGGTCTGTGCGGGGGCTACTGTTGCCGTGTCCCCTCTACGGGGAGGCAGGTCTGTGCGGGGGCTACTGTTGCCGTGTCGCCCTCTACGGGGAGGCAGTTCTGTGCCGGGGCTACTGTTGCCGTGTCCCCTTCTATGGGGAGGCAGTTCTGTGCGGGGGCTACTGTTGCCGTGTCCCCCTCTACGGGGAGGCAGTTCTGTGCGGGGGCTACTGTTGCCGTGTCCCCCTCTACGGGGAGGCAGGTCTGTGCGGGGGCTACTGTTGCCGTGTCACCCTCTACGGGGAGGCAGTTCTGTGCCGGGGCTACTGTTGCCGTGTCCCCTTCTACGGGGAGGCAGTTCTGTGCGGGGGCTACTGTTGCCGTGTCGCCCTCTACGGGGAGGCCGTTCTGTGCGGGGGCTACTGTTGCCGTGTCGCCATCTACGGGGAGGCAGGTCTGTGCGGGGGCTACTGTTGCCGTGTCGCCATCTACGGGGAGGCAGGTCTGTGCGGGGGCTACTGTTGCCGTGTCCCCCTCTACGGGGAGGCAGTTCTGTGCGGGGGCTACTGTTGCCGTGTCGCCCTCTACGGGGAGGCAGTTCTGTGCGGGGGCTACTGTTGCCGTGTCGCCATCTACGGGGAGGCAGGTCTGTGCGGGGGCTACTGTTGCCGTGTCCCCCTCTACGGGGAGGCAGTTCTGTGCGGGGGCTACTGTTGCCGTGTCCCCCTCTATGGGGAGGCAGTTCTGTGCGGGGGCTACTGTTGCCGTGTCGCCCTCTACGGGGAGGCCATTCTGTGCGGGGGCTACTGTTGCCGTGTCGCCCTCTACGGGGAGGCCGTTCTGTGCTGGGGCTACTGTTGCCGTGTCGCCATCTACGGGGAGGCAGTTCTGTGCGGGGGCTACTGTTGCCGTGTCGCCCTCTACGGGGAGGCCGTTCTGTGCGGGGGCTACTGTTGCCGTGTCGCCATCTACAGGGAGGCAGTTCTGTGCGGGGGCTACTGTTGCCGTGTCCCCCTCTACGGGGAGGCAGTTCTGTGCGGGGGCTACTGTTGCCGTGTCGCCCTCTACGGGGAGGCCGTTCTGTGTGGGGGCTACTGTTGCCGTGTCGCCATCTACAGGGAGGCAGTTCTGTGCGGGGGCTACTGTTGCCGTGTCCCCCTCTACGGGGAGGCAGTTCTGTGCCGGGGCTACTGTTGCCGTGTCCCCCTCTACGGGGAGGCAGTTCTGTGCCGGGGCTACTGTTGCCGTGTCCCCCTCTACGGGGAGGCAGGTCTGTGCGGGGGCTACTGTTGCCGTGTCGCCATCTACAGGGAGGCAGTTCTGTGCGGGGGCTACTGTTGCCGTGTCCCCCTCTACGGGGAGGCAGTTCTGTGCCGGGGCTACTGTTGCCGTGTCCCCCTCTACGGGGAGGCAGTTCTGTGCGGGGGCTACTGTTGCCGTGTCCCCCTCTACGGGGAGGCAGTTCTGTGCGGGGGCTACTGTTGCCGTGTCGCCATCTACGGGGAGGCAGTTCTGTGCGGGGGCTACTGTTGCCGTGTCGCCATCTACGGGGAGGCAGTTCTGTGCGGGGGCTACTGTTGCCGTGTCGCCATCTACGGGGAGGCAGTTCTGTGCGGGGGCTACAGCAGGGAGGGAGCTGGGGAGATCCCAGCTCACTTCCAGCTCGGCCCCTGCCTAAGGGGGTGGCCTTGGCTCCTGCATCTGCAGAGCCGCTCAGAGCACCCACGTCAGAGATCGTGGGAGCCCCGCAGGGCGGTGACTGCTGGTTTTGCTGTCCCCGCTTCCTCACACATGTGTTATGTGACCAGCACGTGGCCAGCACTGCTAGGGGCCAAAGGGGTAAACAAATGGAACAAGCGGAAGGGCCCGGAGTCTCGTGAGCGAGGAGACAAGTGGCGGTGGGCGTGGAAGGAGGCGTGCAGACGGGAGAGGGCGGGGACGGCTGTGAGGACAGGGCTTCCAAGAGGGAGCCTGGGGCCGGGCAGAGGGGACGGGAACGCGGACCGGGTCAGACACCGCCCTTCTGAGGGACGCATGTTCCAGCTGGGGGTGCTGCTCCCCAGCGGGGCGCGTCCCCACCTCCTGTTTGCCTCCTGGTTGCCCTTGCTCACCCTTCCCTGTGGGGGACCTTTCTGGTCACACTGTTTACAACCACCCTCTGGCCCCACCAAGAAGACAGGCAGGATGGGGGAGTTGCCCGCGCCCCGGGAGACGCACCCAAGGTTGTCTCTGCTCTCATCCACAGGCGCGTCAGGTCGTCGCAAAGGAAGGAGATCTTGTATTTGGAGCGAGGCGTCAGGGTGAGGTTGGTGCTGCAGGTCCGAGACTCCAGACACACAAAACAGCCGGGGACAAACCTTCGGCTCTGCTTAAGGGGCCTCTGCTCGATGGTGAGCGACATGGTTGGCTCGTTACTCAGGTCGACCACGTAGGTTACAGCTGGAACCACACACAGAAAGCAGGCGTGAAAGGTGGTCAGCAGCAGCCTCGTGACGTGGCCAAGATCAGCACAGAGCCTCCCGTGGCTGGAAAACGCTGGAAACACTTTGTATCTTGAAGGCAGCAGCCCAATAACTTGAAAAGTTAAGAATGGGTCAGACAAAGGTGTGGGTGCACAGCACTGGGCGCCTGGGGCAGCTCCTTGAGCTGTAGGGTCCACGCCAGGATCGAAAGGAGCCAGCTGGAACTGTCCAGAAACCAGAGCTCTTCAGGAGCGCAGCCCAGCCTGGTTCTTCCCCCAAAGATACTCCTGCTGGCCAAGGCCACACACTCCTCTAGAAGACCCTACTTTGGGGCTGAACCCCTCCACTTTACAATCAATCACGCTTTATTTACTTCAAAATGAAAGCCATACCCTTCTTCTTTTTTTTTTTAATCCTTACCCGAGGACATTTTTGCATTTATCTTCAGATAGAGCAGGAGGGAGAGAGAGAGAAAAATCTATGTGAGAAAGACACATTGACTGGTTGCCACCCACACGACCCCAACCAGGGCCGGGGTCAAATTGCAACCGAGGTACCCGCCCTTAGGGGGAAACCGAACCCGGGACTTTCTGGTCCGCGGGCCGAGCTCTAACCGCTGAGCCAAACCGGCCAGGGCGGCCACACCCTTCTTGAGGCTGGATACAGCCTGTTTAACACTTTGATTAGTTTTAGAAGTCAGCCCAGCTGATGTTACAGGAAACAGAATTAATTAGCAGCACTATCGTCTACCCTGAGACGACAGACAAATCTGTCCATCTTCTGAAATGCACACCCACGCCATCCAAATGCTTTTGTGGCCGTTCCAGCATTCTGACGATAAAACTGTGACAGGGGAAGCCTAAAATGTGTCAATGGACACACACACACACACACACACACTCATTCAAACAGATAAAGGTATGTCTTCTACAGAACCACTGTAAATTAGAAGGAATATTGGGTCAAGATATGGGTGGAGTCAGGCCGCAAGGGGCGCCAAGCGGGTATTCCTAAGGTCACCTCTTGAGTGGACCCCACAGGGTTACTCTGCAGATGATTACCAGCCCTGTGAAAACACACAGCATGCCACTCCACACTCCCACTGGATTTTTTTTGCCTGGCTCTGCCTAATTCTTGGAAGTAGATGAGAAAAACCAGGCTGAGTCAGCCCTCTGGACAGAACCCATCCTCAGCTGGTGTCAGAAATGTCCCGACACCGGTCACAGCGTGCCCCAGGAACAACCACTCTGAACCCATCCTGTACATTATCTCAACATCTGCACCACAGCCCTCCGGACCAGGACTCAGGCGAGGCAGGCCGGGCACCCAGGGAGCCAAGGGTAAGGCAGCACCGGCTCTCGGAGGCTCCCCTGTACTGACACCTCTGTAAGGGAGCACCTCAGAGGGGGCGCCTCCTCACATGTTGCATCCTGAGCACTTTGCCCCACCCGCGTCATGGCCCTGAGCGCCCTTCTTCAGGTTCTCGGCGTCTTAGTAATTGTGTGTGGAATGAAGTATAACCCCATGCTCATCAGCCCACCTGGGGCTCCGTGTGGCCCACGGGCAGGCTCTGGGTTCTGAGCATGCTCTGGACAAGCTGTGCGATGTCAGGCTAGTTCCATGACCTGTCTGGACCTTCCGGTTCTTCACCCGTAAACGAAGAAAAGTCCTGCCGCCCCTACTGGGTTGTGATAAGGATTAGCTGGGACATATGAGTGGTGTGCTTAGCACAGGGCTTGCCACACACCGCTGTGGGGGGGCGCTCAGCTGGTAAAGTGGTGTTATCATTATCACTGCGGACGGCGTGGTGACATCGAGACTCCCAGTGTGGGGTCACGGCATGATGTCTAGAAGGGAACCTCTCAATGCCTTCGTTAAAAACAACTCAGCGCTGCCCTGGCCAGTTTGGTTCAGTGGGTAGAGTGTCGGCCCGCGGACCAGAGAGTCCTGGGTTCGGTTCCTGCTAAGAGCACCTACCTCGGTTGCGGTTTGTCCCCGGCTCTGGTTGGGGTCATGGGAATGGCAACCAGTCGATGTGTCTCTCTCACAGCGATGTTTCTTTCTCTCCCTTTTCCTCCCTCTCTCCCTCCTGCTCTATCTGAAGATAAATGCAAAAACAAACAAACAAAAAAAAACAACTTAGCGCCCTGGCCGTTTTTGCTCAGTGGTTAGAGCATCGGCCCGAGGACCAAAGAGTCTCGGGTTTGAGTCCAGTCAAGGGCATGCACCTCGGTTGTGGTTCAGTCCCGGCTCTGGTCGGGGTCATGCAGGAGGCAATCAATCAACGTGTCTCTCTCACGTGGATGTTTTTTTCTCTCTCTCTCTCTTCCTCCTTCCCTCCCACTCTGTCTGAAAATAAATGGAATATCCTCGGGTGAGGATTTAAAAAAAAACAACTCAGCACCCTGAATGTAAGTTTGTGTTTGCTTCTTCTTGTGTTAAAATGGACCGGTTGCCGCGCGTTCACCAATACGCCTGCCTCACTGCCTAGCAACACACTTCCGGCAACTCTTCCCAGGTCCAGAGGCCACAGATGAGAAACCTCACCCAAGCAGACCACCCAGGAAGGAGAGAGGCGCTGGAGGAAGAGGGAAAGGAAGGTGGGCTCACTTACTGCTTTCGTTTTGTGGACGTTGGACCAAAACTTGAAACTGCAGCCGGAGGATCCCTGGGTTCTGGGCGTCTTGGTCACAGCCTTGCAGAGAGAGGTTGAAGTTCCCAGCCATGTTCCCGGGCTGCTTGTCCGACAGCTTGAACACCTCGGGGTTGGTGGTGGAGCCTGGGATGTAGTACTCGACCCGCTCCTCCTTCTTCTCGCAGTTGGACACGTTGACGTGGAGGAAGGACACGCTGGCCCGCAGGTGCGCGGGAATGACGAACTGCCAGGTCATGAGCTCGTCCTCAGGGAAGCCGTCCGGGTAGTTGGCAGACATCAGGGTTGCCGAGCCTTCACCCTCAAACACAGATTCGATGATGCACAGTCCTGTTGGGAGGGGAACCCGAACAAGGCGATTACACCCTGCCCTGGTGTCCACAGCCGAGGGCAGCGGAAGGGGGTTCTCAGGTCCTGAGCCTCGGGTCTGGATGTGGTATGAGGAGGAGACATCACTGTCGTGAGAGTTAATGTTGAACAACTTACTAAGCAAAGGAATAAACGTCCTAGTGTGTAGGGTCTGCCCACTTCCTTGGTGTAAATACTTCCACCACCGCTGTTGATAAGCTACCAGCGTGAGAGGACTGGATGTGGACTTGGGAAGAGAAAATCGGCATCAATAACCTCAAGAGCACAGACGACAGGAAAGTGTCATGAAATCATTAGGAGGCAAAGAGTTTTGAGTGTTTATGACTTTTGTTTCTAAACCCATGTTTTCACTTGTAAGTTTACCTAATTTTATTTTTATGCGCGGCCCTGTTTAACACCAGCTCGAGGACTCCCTGGGTATTTAACAAGCAGACCTTGTGAGCGGATGTGAGTCAGCTCTAACTCGCCCCTGACACCAGCAGAGAAAATGTGAAGCAGACAGAAGACAAAGAAATTAGACATTAGAAACAGAGCGATCACGATAGGTCTGTAGACCCAATCCCATTTCGTGTCTGGAAAGCAAACCTCACATGTGCAAAGGATTAAGAAAAGAGGAGGAGACGTCAAGGTTGGCAGAGAAGGGTAGGGCCACACCAGGCCCGAGTGGCCCGAGCAGCTTACAGAAGAGTGGGAGCTCCCTGGAAGGTGTTCAGGTCGACTCATACAAAGCTGCCGACACCTGGCCCTCTCTGACCCAAAGGACGGAGACTTTGTATGTTTCAGCCTCAGCAAATAGCGGGAGGGCATGGCGTGCTCACGCTTTATGGATGACCGGTTTGCGATGCTGAAGCCGGAGACGTTTCTGCTGTGGAACCACGGCAGGTGTAAGGCCATTTTGACACCCTCTTGCATCTTGATCCGGGACACGGTGCCGTTGCTGCAGAAGGTTCCGATCATGACCTCGGCGGCATCGATGTGGCCGCTGATGGAGTGAGTGACTCCATCTGGGCAGCTGTCCCCTGGCCCTACCTGCCTCAGGCGAGGCAGAGCGAACTGCAGCTCCAGCCCGATGCTCTTGTGAGCGTGCACGTCCCAGATGAAAGTTCGGTTGAGGGTGGGCAACACCGATGTTGGGGGCTGCAGCGCCACCTCTCCGAAAGGACACGGGCCTGACATGCAGTCTGAAACACAGTCACAAAACAGTCTTGGTCACAGACGCTACCAGGCCCCTCGCTGCTCCCTCCTTACCTCTGGGAGCACCGCCAGGTGGGCACACCCTTCTCCAGGTTTCGTGAGTGTCGATGGCCCGGGGTGCACAGATGCCCCCTTCTCTGGTGAAGTGCCTCAGCTGGGGGTACCTCTGGGGGGCCAGAAAAAACTGAGGGGTTCACTGCCCGTCCCAACAGGGAGCAGCTGCTCATCGCGGGAGTGAAAGAGCCGGGCCTCAGCTGGGGCGCCGCTCCGATGCCAGCGTCGCCTGAGGCTCCACTTCGGCTAAAACTGTATCCTTGCTTCTCCTGCCCTGCCCCTCCTGCCCTGCTCGCTTCTTCACGGGGTGTTTCCAAGGTGCTCTCTTAACAAGTGACTTTAAAAAGTCCCCATTCAGGTTCTGTTTCCAGGGAACCCCACCCAAGACACCGCCTCGCTCCTGTGTTTCCAGGGGCAGCCAGGTGTTTCCAGGGGCAGCCAGGGGGGTCCGGGCGGTGGGCCTCCGCCCAGGCCTCCCCAGAAGTCAGAGGGAGGCCCTCGGCCACGGAGCCGGTGCCTTGGGAGCCCGTCTCGCCACTCTTAGGGCGCAGTGCCAAGCTCCACCTTTTGAAACTGGTGTTCCCATCAACACACTCATCGGCACGCCGAGTACACTTGGAAGGGGCAAACCCCTCAATGGCTGCAACCCCGAGGCACAGTTTCTTCCTGACTCGTGGCTTTACTGCTCATCTTTTATTCCCACGTTGGCTTTTCTGGAGGCTCACAGCTAATGACATCCCAAGCTTTTAAAACAAAAGGAGAAAGGCTCTTGGGGAGGAATAAGAGGAAAGCGCATGGACGAAGTAACAGGACACCGGCAACCCAATGGGCAGCTCTGTGGCCTGAGGCACGGGGAACCTGAAAGGTGTGGTGAGTTCCGGCCACTTTAATTAGCATCTGCGCCTCTTCCCTGCTGCTCCTGTCCGGTATCTGAAAGTACTGCCAACGTGACATGGAATTGTGGGAGAATTTCAGAGCTGGACCTCTGAGGCCATCCATGCCAAGCCTCTCCTCTTTGCCCTGGAGCAGGGGGCTGAGCATGGCGCTGGTAGTGCACACAACCCCAGGACAGCCCAGGCCGCGTCTGCTCAGCCCACATGCTGCCGACACACTGCGTCACCGAGCCCGAAAACCAGCTTAGACCACACGGTGACGGACGTGGCTAAAATTAGATTTTGTGTGTCGGTAAAGACAGGATCTATTTTTAGGAGCTCTTGCAAACTTCATTGTTTGCATCAAGTCACTTCTTTCCTTTAAAATCTGGCCTCCTAACTTTCCACCTACATCTCCAATGTGCCCAGGGCCACTTGGAGTGGCTCCTGCCGGCTTCTGTGCTCTCAGCAGGGTCACTCAGCCCTGCGAAGGTGGTGGTTCTCAGTCCAGACACACTCGGAGTTCCACGCCACACTCACTTAGAGGACTCTTAAAAAATACACGTGCCCTGGCCGATGTGGCTCAGTTGGCTGGGCATCGTCTTGTGGACCAAAGGGCTGCCAGTTTGATTCCCGGTCAGAGCACACGCCCAGGTTGTGGGCTCGATCCATGGCCGGCGGCGTGCAGGAGGCGGCTGATCGATGTTTCTCTCTCACATCAATGTTTCTCTCTTTCTCTCCCTCTCCCTTCCTCTCTTTCTAAAAAAAAAAGTCAATACAAAGTATTTTTAAAAAGTACACATGCTGGGGCCACCTGAGAGATTGTGACTTAATTCTATACCAAGAACCCAGAGTCACAAACCTCCGTCTCTCAGCCACAGCTCTGTGCCAACCATGCGACATTGGGAGACTCGGTTGTGCGAGCATTTTTTATTTTATTTTTTTAAATGTTTTTTTTTTTTTAATAGAATTTTTAGAGAGAGGAAGGGTGAGAGAGAGAGAAGCATCAACGTGAAAGCGAAACATCAATCGGCTGCCTCCTGCATGCCCCCTACTGGGGATCGAGCCCACAACCTGGGCATGTGCCCTGACCAGGAATCGAACCAGGACCTCTCCGTCCATGGGATGACGCTCAATCCACTGAGCCACACCAGCCAGGCTATGCAAGCATTTTTTAAATTTGTTACTAAGAATTTCGGTTTTGAGGATGGACCTGCAGGGAAGAGTAGTCCCAATGGCCAGCATGCCTCCAAGTCTTCTGTTCCCCATCCAGTGCCAAAATGTTAAATAACTCAAGATTCCCACGTAAAGCATGAAGTGTTAATTTAGAAGTGACTCACAACTCATATGCCCCCAGCACAGACTTCTACGTTCATTAACTTGAAGGGCACTGTTCAAGAGAGGGTAACAACAGAGATATCCAACTTCACCTGCAGCTTCTAGCTGCTTCCTCATGACAGGTTTTCAGGACCCTGGACTGGATTCTCCGGTCTAGACTTAGTATTTCAGAAATGGCTATCTCCCTATCATTTTCAAAATATTGTGTCAGTTTTGACTCTATAGTCACTTGTGTGTTGCATCCTAGGGTTGTGAGCCTGATGCAGTCAACGCTTGACTTGTGAGATAATCATCTAGCAAGATAATCATATGTAGTTTCTCTCTCTCCCTTCATGCGAAACATGATATGAACCGATTTCTTTTTCCAAGACGGCAGTCACTTTGTTGGCTGAACTGGTTATAAAGTGATGCGTGCGTGTAAAAACAAAACAAAACAAAAGGACACTATGAAAGAACAGAAAGAAAATGAATGTCACCTGCCCCCCTCCCCCACCCACTACAGACATAATGTAAGGTTGACATTTTGGTGTTGAGCCCTCCAAACTTCCGGCTCTGTATGATTACGCGTGCTTGTGTGCATATGTGTGTATTTCATGAAGTGGGATTGAGCTGTTTTCCTACTACAAGCTGTGCTGTTTCCAATGAAACAAAACTCTGTCCATGTCAGACACACAGATTTCCCTCAGTCTTTTGAGAGCAGCACACCATTCCATTAAATCCCTCAGTGCATCAACTTCCTCAGCTCTGTCAAAGCTTCCCTGCAATGTTAACTGTAATCAACTTCAACTGATCAATTAATCTGGGGGAGAACTGACATGTAAAGTTCTGAGACTTTCATCAAGGAACACAGTACGTCTCTCCACTTATTTATATCTTCTCTTTTTGTCTTTCAGTAAAATTTTATATCTTGCTTCATATGCACCCTATGTCTTTATTAAGAGAATCCCTCAATATTTAACTAGAATTTCTAAATGATGGCAACCGATAGCATGCAGAGCAGGGGCTCTTCTATTGTTTCCTGTGTTACTGGTAATGCTTCTCTGTCTGACTGTTGAATATGATGTTTGCTCTCAGGTTTTGGTAGATACATTTTTTTTTAATCCTCACCCGAGGACACTTTTGCATTTATCTTCAGATACAGCGGGAGGGAGAGAGGGAGGAAGAGAGAGAGAAACACCAACGTGAGAAGGACACATTGAGTGGCTGCCACCCACACAACCCAACTGGGGCCGGGGACAAACTGCAACCGAGGTACGCGCCCTTAGCGGGAACCGAACCCGGGTCTCTCAGGACCGCAGGCCGAGGCTCTAACCGCTGAGCCAAACCGGCCAGGACTGCTTCATTCTTTTAATGCATTTTTTTTGGACTTGATATACTTTATATTTTCTCTGAGCTTTTTGTTTTTTGCATGTATAATCATATTAGACTGGACTATGGTTTTCTTTTTTAACACTTTGGCAGATTTTGACATCAGGGTTGTAAGAACCTTATAAGATGAGCTATGAAACTTTTCTTTTGATGCTCAGAATGGGAGTCGGCAAACTACAGTCCATGAGGTCAATCGAGCCAAACACCCGACATTGTAAATCAAGCTTCACCAGACCGTTCCCCGCCTGTTCGTTTGCCTGTGACCTCTGGCTGACTGTGCTGGGACGGCCCGCCGAGGGCATGGCGGAGGCCACCTGGCCCACGGTGCCTCGGGCACTTCCTAGCTATCTGGCCTTTCACAGAAACAGCCTGCCAACCCTACTCCAGAACGGTCTAAACCTCATAGAAATCCTCTGCTCCTTCAAGTTTTATAGGACCCTCCATGAAGCCATCTCTAACCAACCCCAGCACGGCTCTGCATCTTGGACATTTTCCGAATCTCCTCCATTGCCATTTATTGACTCAGGTTTCCTACCTTTTTATGAGTCAATCTGGCCCGTTACGTGTTTCCTGAAAATCACCACGTCTATTTAGATTTTCACACTGAATATCATAACGTACATAGTCTCCTACCATTTTAGAAATCGCCTTTGTATTTGTCATTAAATCCACATTTATGTTTTCAATGCCGTGTATTTGTATTTTCTCCTTTTTTAGGACCTTGAGAGCTTGTTTGGAGGTTCTAGCAGGGGAGCGCAGCTACTCGTATACCCTTGACCGAAGACCGGTCCTCTCCTCTGGGGGGAAGGTCGTCCTCTTCGACCGAGCGCGCAGCTTCGGGAGGGACGAACATGGATCGGTTGAGGGAGGAGGGGGACACCCGCCTAGCCAGCCAGATCAGCCGAATCAACCCTGGCGATCAATGGGGTGACAGATGTCGCAGCCAGATCGCCCTCACATCCTGTATTTTCTCCTTTTTTAGGAGACCAGTTGGAGACATGTCTATGGAATTGGACTCTATCGAAACCAGGTCTTGGTTTTAGTTATCAAATGCAGTTTTAAAACTGCTTTTGAGGACTTTAGTTTCTCCTTTTATTTGTCTGAATTCCTTCTTCCTTAAGTTTATTTCATCCTCTTTCTTCCCTCATGGTCTATTGCCTGATTCACTTATTTTCCGTTAAAGGCGAAGACATTTTCTGAGTATGGCTTTGATTAGATCACAGATAGTGCCATGATGTCACTATCCGCATTAGTGCCAGGCTGGCATGCCCACCTTAAGACAATGGGGGAAACTACACACTTGTTTTTTTCTTTTCTGCCTGATTATTCTTTCTTTTTTTTAAATCCTCACCTGAGGATATTTTTCCATTGATTTTTTTTTTTTTTTAGATAGAGTGGAAGGGAGGGAGGGAGACAGAGAGAGGAACATCAATGAGAGAGAGATACAGTGATTGGTTGTCTCCCACACGGCCCTTACCAGGGCTGGGGATCAATAAACCCACAACTCAGGTAGGTGCCCTTGACCAGGAATTGAACCCTCGACCCTTTGGTCTGTGGGCCGACGCTCTAACTGCTGAGCCAAACTGACCAGGGCCTGATTATCATTTCTTATATCAATCTTCTACCCCAAGCTCAAGTCCTGAAGAAGAAGAACAATATTACCAAATATCTAGAGTTTGTTGAATCCTTGTATATCATACACTCTCAATCCATTATTTTATTTCATCCTCATAATAACCCTATTGGTTGGTGCAATGATTCCTATTTTATAGACTAGAAAACTCAGTCAAAGAGCAGTTAAGTAACTGCTATGAAGCCAGATGATCAGCAGCCTAGAGCTTGGAGCTACAACCTCGCTCCCTCAGCCTCCAAAGCTGCTGTGTTTTCCCTTGAGCTTGTGGGCCCCTTTCTCTGCTCTTATCTCCTCAACCTTCCGTCTCTTTTCTCCTCCAACCCCTTGACTTTTGCCGATCACCAGCCGGCTGTTTTTAGCACATCAGACTGAGCATCATAGACCTGAAGATCCACAGCTCAGAGCCAGTGTGGCTTCATGGTCACAGGCCGAGACTCTGGCGCCGAGAACCTGGGTTCTGGTCCGGCTGCTATGACTGGCTGTGCCAGCCCAGGGAAGTCACTTCCTTTGTGAACCTCTCCAAGGGCTGTTTAGAGGGTCAAGCGACGTAACCCCTACCAGACACTTAGCAGTGTCCCCAGAGGCTGGCTGCCAACAGCCCACGGGTGTGACTCACCGACATCCTTCTGGACCTCAATGACAAAGTGATGCTGGGGGCTGGAGCAGGTGAAGGAGAAGTCCTTTCTTTCTCCGGATTTGATGGGCAGCGTGGTTACATACTTTCCAGAAGTGATGATGTGACAGGGCTTCACTGGCAGGGTGAAGGGGCCAGGCTTTATCAGGACTGTGGTGCCACTCCCGTGGGGCAGACTGATCTCAAAAGCTCCTGAAGGAAGGAGGAGACATGGAGTGAGCAGGGCGACTTCGGTCTGCAGACCCGCTCTCTCCCCTCCGCTGGCCCAGGGAGGGTGCCCTCTGCTCCTTGCCCCCTGACCTAAGAAGGGGGTGAGCTAAAGTGACAGTGCTGTCCTTACCGACAGGAAAGAATCGGGCCCCTGTGGGTTGAGCACTGGCACGTGTCTCTGGTTTGGCCTATTCATTTTTCTAAAAATGAAAAACCCTAAACCACATCCTAGATGTCTCGAGCTATACGTTTTCAGATACCCTGTCTGCATCAATAGCAATGACATAGCAATCAATCAGAAAAATGGCCACACTTCTTCTCACTCTGACTCCAGACCAAAGTCCACACACAGAACAGCTGACTGTTTGTAGAGGGATATGTTTATCTGCCGAGAGCTGCTGTCTTCTGCCCTGGGCGCTGCATGGACCCCGTACACACACACACACACACACACACTCACACACACTCATACAGTAGTGGGGGGCAGGGACACTCCTACAGAAATTAGACACAAACATATTGTGTCAACAAATTTGGAAAGTTGGAGCAAAATAATGCTAATACCTCAGGCTGGGAGTAGGCCAAATGATCTGAACAAACAAGACGAAGCTGGTGAGATGGGGGTGGTTATTAAACAGGTGTGCACTCCGGTCAGGACAGAGCTCTGATTCGTGAACAAGCACAATCTCTTTCCCATGCCCTTGCTTTATTGAGCTTGAAGTCTTCTTGCACGAATCAATAGCGTGTTCTTTTTTATTGCTGAGTAATATTCCACTGTCTGGCTAAATTGAAGTTGACTTATCTGTGCACCTTTTCTCCTTGGCAGCCGCCACCCCTTCCCTGACTTAGGTCCTCATTGTGGGGCTCTGGGCAGCTGACGGCCTGGGAACAGCACATGAAGGGGCCGTCGTCCATAGGTGGGTCCCGTGGAGGGAACTCAGGGGCTCACAGAGAGCAGCAGGGCTGCGGTTGCCCCTGTCCCACCATGTTCTGGAGTAGAGATGGTCCGTACCTGTTATGGCACCTGCACACGGAAGGTGCTCAGCAAGCATTCAGTTCAGCCAATGACAGCAACCCAAGCGAAAGCTTTTGTTTCCAGCTGTACTTTCCCCCCCTTTTCTTTTTCTTAATCCTCACCCGAGGATATTTTTTCCATTCATTTTTTTACAGATAGAGTGGGAGGGAGAGATAGAGATAGAGAGTGAGAGAGAAACATCGATGTGAGAGAGACACATCGACTGGTTGCTTCCCACAAACCCCAGCCAGGGCCTGGGACCGAACCGCAACCGAGGTCCGTGCCCTTGACGGGAATCAAACCCACGACTCTTTGGTCCACAGGCTGATATGCTAACTGCTGAGCCAAACCAGCGAGGGCTCTCCCTCCTTTTGTTTTTTTTTAAATCCTCACCTGAGGACATTTTTCATCTTTTGTTCGGATAGAGTGGGAGGGAGAGAGAGGAAGAGAGAGAGAGAGAGAAACATCGACGTGAAAGGGACATCGAGTGGCTGCCACCCGCACAACCAACCAGGCCCGGGGACAAACTGCAACCGAGGTATGTGGCCCTGGCCGGAACCAAACCCGGGTCTCTCTGGACTGCAGGCCGACGCTCTAACCGCTGAGCCAAACTGGCCTGGGTGCCCCCCTCCTTTTCAAAATTTATTTGTAATCAACTTCATTGAGATATAATTTACATACATTAAAAAGGACCCACTCATTTTAAGAGTTCTGACAAATACATATACATGAGACCACCACTACAATCAGAATATAAAAACATTTTCATCATCCCCAAAAGTTCAAGTGGCACGGTCTTGCAGTCCAGACCCCAGAAAACTATCAGTTAGTTTGGCTTCATCTGGACCTTTTATAAACAGAATCTGAAAAAAAATATTCTCTTTTGTACCTGGATCTTTGCTCAGCAGGTTGGTGAGATTCATTCCCGTTACTGCACGAATCAGTAGTGTGTTCCTTTTTATTGCTGAGTAATATTCCACTGGCTGGCTAAATTGAGGTTTATTTATCTGTGCACCTGCTGAGTGACATCTGAGTTCCTTCCCAGTGTTGACCAGCCACATGCTACAATTTCACCAGACACTTCTAGCCAGCCCCAGGGCTGGATGTATGTCTCCTCCCACACAGTGGAGGCATGCACCTGTGTTTCCAGAGCTGAGACGGTGTGCGATCAAATGTCTGGAATTTCGTCAATCTCTTGTTGCACCTCTCTCCCTTCGCTCACTGTGCTCCAGCGAGCGTGGAAACCGAAACCTCCACTTCGATAATGAACTGCAAACATTTTCCCCAGTCTATCAGGTAAGAACTTTACCCTTTGGGCCTCTGTTCCTTCGATTGTAAAATGAGGGGGTTGGGCTAGAATCGCTCCAAACCTGCCAACTTAGAGTTTATGATCAGTATCCAGGAAATAAGAAGTCACTTTGCAGCTGTCAACATGGCCACCCACTGTGGAGTGGTAACACATCTCTCAGGGCTCAGGGCACCAGCATAGTGGCCCTTGTGGCTTTATTCCCAAGATGGATCAGGTTTGCGTTTTTGGAGCAAAAACTTCTCTCTCCAACCTCAGCTCATACCTGTCTGCCTCGGTCACCTCTGTACTTGGCAACCTTCGCCTTCTTTCTTGAACACACCAACCCCTTTCCCACCTCAGGGCCTTTGCACATGCTGGTTCTGATTCCTAAAATGCTTTCTCCAGCAAGAGCTGGGTCCCTTTTATCATTCCAGTCTCCGCTTAAAGGTCATCACCTCCGAGTAGCCCTCTCTCACCAGCCAGCTAAAGTGCTCCTCCCACCCCGCCTAGTCTCTGGCACCTCCCCCACATGTCCATCCTTGCTCTAGTCTCTGACTCAGTACCATGGGGTTTGTTCATCTGTGCTCACCTCCCAGGAGCGAGCAGAACGTGAACTCTTTTCTGCAGGAAGGCAGCAGAACCTTGCTTTTCTCAGTAGTAGCTGCAGGACCCAGACAGTGCCTAGGGCCCACAGGGAGGCAGGAGTTATAAGCCTCCCAACATCCCCAAAGACAGCGAGCATCTGTACGTCCTTGTCTTTGCCGCATTTCGTTTTTTGTAGACCCCCCCCCCCATTCCTGTATTTGTGCTAATAAATCTGGGTGGGAACCAGGAACTCTGAGATTTTATTTTATTTTATTTTTTATTATTATTATTTTTTAATCCTCTCCTGAGGACATTTTTCCATTTTTTTTTGGTTCAGATAGAGTGGGAGGGAGAGAGAGGAAGAGAGAGAGAGAGAGAGAAACATCGATGTGAAAGGGACACATCGAGTGGCTGCCACCCGCACGACCAACCAGGGCTGGGGACAAACTGCAACCGAGGTACGTGCCCTTAGCGGGAATCGAACCCGGGACTCTCGGGACCGCAGGCCGACACTCCAACCGCTGAGCCAAACCGGCCAGGGCGAGATTTTAAATTAATACCCTCAGAGAGAGAAAATGGCCTGAGACAGAAGTTTATTTACTCGAAAGCTTCATCTTCAAGCAAGATAGCTATTTCTTCTGAGATAGACTAGAAGGTCCGCGAGTTCTTTAAGACATCAGATCTGTGTTCGGAAACTCAGTCAGATTCATACCCAAGCTGTGAACACCGACCCTTGTGTTCTTTGTAAAATGTTTTTATTGATTTTTTAGGGAGAGATAGAAACATTGATTGGCTGCCTCCTGCTGGGAATCAAGCCCACAACCCAGGCATGTGCCCTGACTGGGAATCGAACCAGGATTCCTCAGTCCATGGGACCACGCTCCATCTACTGAGCCACACTGGCCAGGCAGCCCTTGTGTTCTTTTTCTATAATCATAAACATGCCTTCCTATGTAAATAGCAAAATTGTTTAGCACCAGTCTCTGAAGGCTCAGCACGTGCTCCTTGGCCTCCAGCCTTGGTCTTCAGAGGGGCTAATTCAGTGTCTAGGGACGCTGCACCCTGGCTGAGGTCTGCCGCCCAGCTAGCTAAGTTACCAACTTCTTTCCCCCTCTCCTTTCTCCCCTGTCTGCTTTGACACCCTTTGGCCAAAGCATTATTTAAAATTCCTGACTCTGTAAGTACAACTACGGCTTTAATTAACTGTTAACACTAAGCTGATCGCTGTTGCTTGAGGCTGGAAGTGGGGGAGGGGACGGGGTAAAAGGGGCAGAGGAGAGACCCTTTGGGATGAAAGACCCATTATGTATCTTGACCATGGTGGTGATTCTACCTTGTATATAAACGCCACAATTCATCAGACTGTATACTTGAAATTGATGAAGTTCACTACATTTTAAGTTACATCTTAATAAATATAAAAGGGGGGGCAACCCTCTGTTAGAAAGATTGTGTATCTACACAAAGTAGGCACTTAATAAATGGGGAAAAAAGAATAATCATGCCAGCAGTTAAAATATGGCTTAATATTTTAAAAATTATTTAAAAACAATTTTTTTTTCTTTATTGATGTTAGAGACAGAGAGGGAGAGATAGAAACATCGACTGGCCACCTCCTGCATGCCCCCCACTGGGGATGGGCCCACCACCTGGGCATGTGCCCTGACCGGGAATCGAACCGGTGAACTCTTGGTGCATGGGTCGACGCTCAACCACTGAGCCACACCGGCCGGGATGGCTTAATAATATTTTTGGGTGGGCCTAGTTTCTCTCGAGGTGTGGGCAATATTTTCAAATATCTTTAAGTGAGGTTTCGGGAAGAGCAAGGCTGGTCTCACTACCATCTCCCCACTCAGTTCTTCTCTCCCACTGTCAGGCAGGTGCGCCCCCCCAGACACTTTGGGGTACATGACAATCTCTTCTGTTAGTAATGACAGACAGCCAAAGAAAAATATGTAATCTCTTTTGAAAATTACTTTTCTTCTTTTAGAATCTTTAGAATCGTGTATTCATTCAACAAACATTTTTCTGGGTTCATAATATGTACTAGGGGTCAGGGGTCCTATTTTGTGCAAATGACTTAATGACAAAGAG